ATTCTTGCTTACGGAACCCAACTCTTATTAACCTGACCAAAGCCCATGTAATGGCCTTAGTACTTATCCCTAGGTCTACCATAATAACTTTATGATGTGTTGTTGTATGATACATTCATCAATAAATGTGAGAGTTGTAGGTCCAAACCCCATGATGGTTTATGGGCCCAATCCAATTATCCTAGAAAATTAGTCGAACTTTTGACCATGAATCGTGTGAGGGAGAAATAAGGGTGGAGGTTATGCACTTTCCAACTCCCATTCCCTTTTGTTGTCTATGTATATTTTCCATGTTTTCTCATGCATCACATAACGTGTTTCTTTTTAAGCCATATAGGGGTGTTTTGTCATGACTCGCCCCGTCATTTGGAACATCGAAGGGGGAAAGACCTAACGAAGATGATTGACTCAAAATGAACCAAAAGAGCTCACCTCACTGTTGATGATCCGATAAAAGGCCGAAACTCAAGTTCCAAGAAGGAAAGCTCCTCTTGCTTTGTCACTGATGCATATGGATCCTAAAGAAGAGGTTCACCAACTTTTGCTTGAAATCAAGCACGCCCAATTAAAAGCCTTGACCCCTTTCTAAAGCGTTGAGGCTCGTCTCATTCTCATGTGCAATGCCACCAACTGCCTTGTTGAAATCAAACATTTCATTATAGAGGATGTTAGACCATTAAAGCTCTTAGTTAGGAGCTTGAATATTAAAATATTGTAAAAGCCTAGTTAGGGCCTTATCATATTATCATTTTATAAATACAACTTTTGGGGTAATGCAAAGCCTTTTTTTTTTCATTTGTTCCAAATATTTCTAGTATCTATTGACAAAATAAAGAGTGAAATCTCAACTATAAATAAATAAAAATCCTCACTCAGACATCATCGTTGTTTGAGGCAAAAAAAATGGAATCAAAGAAAAGAAATTCGTCAAAAGAGTGAAAGGCATCTTAAATATTTGGCTACAAAGTGACACATTTTGATCTCTTCATTTATCAAAGGTCTTTCCTCACTCATTCTTCTGAACGGTCGTAACCATATTATGATATAATACCGCATTACTTGCATTTTATGATGGTGTAAATGCTTAAATTTTGCCCCAGCATATCGATTCAGCGATGATAATCTTTTTTTGTCGCAAAACAAATTCTAGATATCCGATGGACTTGATTCTCAGACCAGTGTTTCGAGTTTAAGAAAAGTGAGTCATCGGGCCATTTTTATGTTTTTGGATTTCTAGGGATTTTGCATCGAAACAGGGCTGGGAAGCGTCATGGGTGCGTCCAAGACATATCCCGATTCACTGTCTCATTTTGCATGCCCTCGGAATGTTTTCATAAAATTTTAGCCCGACATGCCTCGGAGCCCACCAGTGGCCCGTGCCACCTAGGGTCCAAAATTAGGGCCACCCTAATCTTCATTTGCCTATAAATAAGCCATAGGTTCAAAGAATTAGGAAGTTGGTTTTTGGATTCTAAGTGAAAACTCTTGAAAATTCAGTACTTAATCTCAAGATTTAACCTATAATAAGTTTTATAGCTTGAATCTAAGAGATTAATAACTTTTTACAAAACTTCCCTTAGTTTTAATGATCAATTTCCAACAAACACTCACTTAATTTCTGAATCTCGGATTGTTGATCAAGGATTAAAGCTTCTTGGGTATTCTTAAACATTTCCACTTAATCTTTGTGATTTCTTTAAAACAAGGTAACATCTGAGAGTCCTTTACTTTTTACTTCGTCTTTTTCTTCTTTCTGGTGATTAAAATCACCAATTCTATATTGATTATGAGGGAAACCCGTGATCAACCCAAAAGCCTTGGTCTTTGTAAGCTATGGCACACACCGTAACCCAATGGTACACACCACGTCCTTGATAGTCAAACAACTTGTTTTATGGGCTCTGGTCTGGGAAAACCAAAACGCTACAAGAGAAAAGGCGCACACAATTACATGTGGCACACGTGGTTTCAATCCAGAGACCCAGATTCTAACTTTTAAGTGCTTAAATCCAATTAAAATCACCAAAGTTCTATCATTGCATTACTGACGCGGAAACCCCGTGATCACACCAAAAGCCCTTGTCTCTTGTAAGCTATGGCACCACTCCACCGTAACCCCAATGGTAACACTCTACACCCACGCTCCTTGATAGTCCAAACCAACTTGTTTCTACTGGGCTCTGGTCCTGCCGGCAAAGACCAACAACGCTACAAGAGAAAAAGGCGCACAACAACCTTACAACCTGTGGCACACCGTGGTTTCAATCCAGCAGACCCAGCAATTCTAAACTTTTAAGTGCCTTACCATCCAATCTCTTTCGGGTCCCCTGCTGCGCCTCTAAACACTAAGCCATTAAATGCTCTACGATGGTGTTTTAAAGCTCCATTCCCTTACTTAATAATCACATCAATAAATAAAGTTTTGAGTTGTTTAGGTCAAGCGTTTATGTCATCAGTCCATGCACTAACACATCAAATTATTAAACCTCAATATCTTGCTCTTTAATCCTAACTCTACACCATTTGCAAACTTTACCCGAACATTCTAACTTTATCTGCAACTTAACTTCCTATAATCTTAAATACTATGCACTCCTCTAATCTTCCCTTTATTTTAAGTCTCACCTAACCTTTAACCTTTGATTTGATTATGTTATTCTAACCTTCATGCTTAATTGGTTAATCTATCTTACCACTGTTCATGTATTTATTTCATTCAATTATCATTGCTTTAATGATTCTGCTGGCTTGATTATGAATTTGTTTATTTCGTTTATCCTTGATGTAGCCGCTTTGATTGTTCTTCATTGTGGTTATATTATATTTGGCTAGTGTAAACGAGTTCATAATAAGCTCTATTTTATCGCGCAAATGTCTCAATAATCTGCACGTTTCGGGTTATTAATGCAGTGATTATTGGTTACGAGTGTATTCTGAGGCGTCTCTCGGAGTTGTAATACATGTTATAATTAAAATTTTGAAAATATGACTCATCCGCGAAATGATATAAAAATCTATATATAAGTTAAATACATAATTTAGATATGACTCTCATTAAAATTTCATTAGTCTGGACCTTAATTAACTGACCGATTTATTTTTAATAATTAATTATACCTAACATGCTGAAAATAGGGAAATAATAATTAATTATAAATAAATGTGAAATATAGGGGAATAAGAAGTCGAAATTTTTCTCGACCCGGTGCTTTTAATGAAATTTGGAATAGTTCCCTAAAATAAACCTTTTAGGTCGTGACCAATAGAAAATTTTATTCTATTACTTTAATTGGATCATAATTTACCCTTAACCAATTACTTTTTAAATAAACGTACCACCTTAATCGATCAATGCTAACGCCCTTCCACCAACATTTAAGTTCTCTTATCTTCTTCTAAACTCAATATCTTGTTTTAATCTAACTCTAACCCATTTACTTTACCGACATTTACTTTATTGCAATTAAAATTCCTATAATTTAAATACTATGCACCTCTAATCTTCCCTTTATTTATGTTCAACTAACCTTTAACCTTTGATTTGATTATGTTTTACTTAATGCTTATGTTAATTATTTACCTTTCATGTATTTATTTCATTAATTATCATTGCTATGATTCTGTGGCTTTGATTATGATTGTTTATTTCGTTTATCCTTGATGTATGGTTTATTGCTCTCATTGTGTTATTATTATATTTGGCTATGTAAAGAGTTCATAATAAGCTCTATTTTATTGCAAATGTAATAATTGAGTTTGGGTTATTAATGAGGATTATTGGTTAGAGTGTATTCTAGGGTCTTCGGTTGTAATAATGTTATAATTAAAATTTTAAAATATGACTCATGCGAAATATAAAAAATCTATATATAATTATAATAATTTAGAATATGACTCTCATAAAATATCATTAGTGGACCTTAATTAACTGACGATTTATTTTAATTATTATTATATAAATGTGAAAATAGGGAAATAATATTATTATATAAATGTGAAAATAGGGGAATAATGAAATTTTCGACGGTGTTTTAATGAAATTTGAATATTCTAAAATAACTTTTAGTCGTGACCAATTAGAAAATTTTATTTTATTATTTAATTGGATATAATTTATTAAAATTATTTTTTAAATAAATACACATATAGATAATTAAGCCTTCCAAAATTTTAAGTTTTATCTTTTTAAATTTTATTTTTTAATAAATATATATGATAATGAGAAATTTGAAAATTTTTATATTATATTTTTTTAATATTTGAAATATTTTATTTAGGGGAGAGATAAAAAAAGAAAAAAATTATATTTTTTATAATATTCATTTTTTCTTTATGTTTGTATAATTTGATAGGATATATTTTTTAAAAAATAAATTTTTCGATAGAATATACATTATTAGGCCTTTCAAAATTTTGAAATTTTTACAAATTATTTTTAAAATAAAATAAGCATATCTATATGTGGGATGACAAAGAGTTGAAATTTTAATTTAAAATATATATAATATTTTATTATTGTACATATATATATTGAAATATATTTATTATATGACATTGTAGAATTTACATATATCATTATTGGATGACATTGCAGAATTTTAGATAAATGATGATATAAATTGAACTAAAAAATGTGTGTACATTGCTGTTTTATTAATTAACTGTTATATTCACATTAATCTCATATGAAATTTTGTTTCTACATTATAAAAATTCAAATAATATAAGATAAAAATTATAATTAATATTTATTATCAAAAAATAAAACGGTTATAAATAACAAGTAAAAGTGAGTAATAAAAAATTGAACGAGTACCAATAATAAGTATAGTCAATGTGCAACACACGTTATAAAAGAATAATAAATATAATCAATATGCAACACACGTCATAAAAATACTAGTTAATATAATTGTACCTAGATGTTTAGTGCTGAAAAATTATTGTAACTAATTATACCAAGCACGCATATTCTCTAATAGCATAACCCCGCTGCCAAGTCTAAATTCTTACTAACCTCTCCTTACCCTATATACCCCTCCTTCACCTCCAAGCATCAAAACCCTCCGTTTTTGCTTAACATCAGTACATCACAAACAAAAGAAACCTGAAAAACTTGTACCCATAAACTCGAATCCCAGAAGCAAGAAACCCCTATTCACTTGTTTAGCAGCAGATGAGTCTACAACTCCAAAATCTACTGCATTATCACCCAGACCTGTCTTTCTCCAACAACAATCATCAGGTATAGTTGCAGTAGCACTTTTGTACTTCCGATACTGGTTCTAATTTCCAAGATGCAGTTTAAAATTTTAAAATCCCTATTGAAAGATATGAAAGATTTTGTTGATACATATATTTGTGTGTGTGTGTGCAAAGCATTAGAAAACAATTCAGAAGCTAACTATGGAATGATATGGGTTTTATGTTTTCAATGCCTTTTTATTAAACCCAAAACAAAACCCTTGCTTTTTAGTGAATCTTAACTCTCATTTGATTTAAATTTGATAGGTCATTTCTAAGTGAGATTTGATTTATGTTGTGTTTATGGTTTTTTATTGATGCAGATAATGCAAGCATCTCGGGTTTCTATTAAACCACTGAACTTTGCCTTATCACTTTATGGGACACAAAGAACTATTAGAAGGAGATCTTTGACGACAGTAGTGTCTATGTCAACCAAAAGTGTTGACATCCCAATCATGGTATATGCTAATTATTTTGTTATGGCACTTGCATTATCGATTGATAAGCTAATTTGTCAACTCTGTGACATTGTGAATATATGTTTGTCAAAAGGCAGTTTTTATCACTCACCTAAAGCATACTTTGGTTACCAGAATTCAAAGTAATTCTAGAAATGTCAATTTGTATGTTTGGTTATTATTAGTTCGTTTTCTGGGATATTGTACGATAATTGTGTTTAATAAATTTATGAAGAAATATGCAAATTACAATAGTACCATTAATTTATGTATATTCTCTTTACTTGATATTCTAGTTCAATAAAAAGTTTTCTAATAGTGAATTCACGTGAAATACAAATATCATTAGAAATGTAATTAATAAATATAACATAATAACAGTTTAAATGAACTGTAAGTCCAAAAAAAAAGGGTCAAAATTAATCAATGAGATCTTATAATTAAGGGTAATAATGTGCTTTCTCATTCACATGGGAATGTAACTTAAAAATGGTTTATAATTAAGGGTAACAATGTGCTTATTTTTTTTTCACATGGGAATGAAACTTTTCCATCTCTCTAGATGGGAAAATATTTTCCTTTACATGGGAAAGTAGAGGCTATATCTATGAATCCTAGAATTTAGCTTTCCTTGGAATATAATGTTCATGTGTCAACTAAACACTGAAATCTTACTTTCCAAGTCACTTTCCCTTGTGATTTTGCAACCAAACACTATAATTGGTGAGGTTTCTGCATTATGGGAAACTACATATTCGTCGTTTACATATTGCTTCACCTTTGGATTCTATATTATTATTTATAGTTGTATTTTGCATTATGGGAAAGTTACATTCCCATGCTACATTCACATAGGAATGTAACTTTACCATCTATAGGTTGCCACTATGAAAAAAAATATGTTTTCTAAATTATGAGTGTGGTGATTTTATGTGTGTTGATTCCACTTCATGTTTGTTCCATTGCTTTATTGATTTTAGGTAAATGGTTGTGGTGGAAAAATGGGGAAGGCCGTTATTAAGGCAGCAGACACTGCAGGACTTCAAATTCTTTCTGTGTCATTTGGCTCAGCAGAAGAGTCGGGGCAGACCGTGCAAGTATGTGGAAAAGATATTAAGATACATGGTCCTTCTGAAAGAGAAGATGTTCTTGCATCCCTGTATGATGAATACCCAAACCTCATTGTGGTGGATTACACTGTTCCTTCAGCAGTAAATGGTGCAGTATAAGTTATTTAAAGAAACAGAAAGAAACTTTAACTTTGGATTTTGCTGTGAAATTCAATTCTTCAAATAAGAATTGATTTAATATCTTGACTTTATATACTGAGCGGATTCAGTATTGTACCTGAATCAAATTTGAGCTCTTAATTATAAATTTAAATTAACTAAAAGAGAATATATTTATGTTTTCAAGCATGAAAATTGAATGTTCTAAATTTGTTTTTCTTAACAACATAAAACCTTTTTTTCTGTGTTTTAATTGAATTGAAGTGCTTTAAATTCTAACCTACCATTGTGATTTATTGATATTGTAAAGAGTATTGATCTTAAAATCATGTTTTACAGACTGTTCAGTAGAACTAAGTTCTCATAACACTTATCGGACTGTAAAACAAACTTTGACAACAGTTATTACATTGTTGCAAACAATATCATGCTTCATCTGATGCTTATGTACACTGTTTAATGACATATCCTCTTGGTGGTTGTTCTATGATGCAGACAATGCCAATTTGTATTGCAAAGTTGGAGTTCCATTTGTTATGGGAACCACTGGTGGGGACAGGGACTTGTTATATAAGACTGTAGAGGACTCAAAAGTTTATGCTGTCATCTCTCCACAGATGGGGAAGCAGGTTATCTCAGTTTTGGTATAGCTAATGTATGTAACTTTAAGTTATCCTGTTACATGTCCTAATAAATTATTGTTTTTGTAGGTGGTTGCATTTCTTGCAGCCATGGAGATTATGGCTGAGCAATTTCCTGGAGCTTTTTCTGGGTATTCCCTTCAGGTACTATTCTTTTGCATTGTATCCACGATTAGGAAGTTCTAATTTGCTTTATTATGCAAATATATATCCAGAAGGATTATCTTCGGGAATGATAATTAGAAATTCTGGTGGTTTTGATTGCAAATCCATATTTTTTGCTGATGTAAATCTTTGTCTCATAATGCACAAAGCTCAACTAACATGAAAGAAATCCTTGCAAATTTTGGGGTTGACAGGACCATTTTTTCTGTTCTTCTGTTGAACTGTTCACTTTTATGTTTGTTGATGTTTAATTTCTATCATTTCATGATAAATATTAAAGAATAACGAGTGATTTGTATCTTTGTGTTCTTATATACATTTAATCGTGGATTGTGACAATATTGGATGTACTAAGATTACTTTTCACTATAAAAATACACTACAGACACCCTGTAGTAATTAGAGAAAACAAATCAATCAACACTCCAGTCCGGTCATAATTGATATACGCTTTCCTCCCTTTCACCACAATTTAATATCATACATTTAAGGGCTTTTCTTTCCTCTGCATTGATCCTAATCTATTACTCCCTACATTATTTTTATACAGGAGAAATTTTCATTTTGAGTGTTCTTTTTATATAGAGAATTTTGCTTAATTTGGTAATTTTAGAAACCATGCCAATACGAAAAGTCTATCTTACTATTGTCTTAGTCCTTTGTGAAGCTTTTGGTATGAGAAATTCTCATGGTAAAGACAGCAAAGGTATCGATGAACATTTAATGTAAATAAATTTTGGAGAAAGGATTGTTTTTACATCAATTTCCATTAAAAAAAAATGTGCTTATACAGGCGATATGAGCATTGACTAAAATGTCGTTTGAATAGGAAGAGGCCATAGAATTTTCAAGTTGACCACATTGAGAGGAATCCTTATGGATTCTGCCTGAATATTTGGACATTGTACCATATTTAAAGGATGTTTTCAATTACCAAAGGCAGTCGAAAATTTAAATGAGCACAAATTTTCATATTTTCATACAACTTTGGCAAACAAGGACCAAAAAGAAAAAAAAATTCCATCCACAAGTTAGAGCATAAACTTTTATTTTTTTTGGAATCATTCGTATTCCCTTCGTTCCAACTAAGCATTTAAAGCTTAATTAAAATTGAAACATAATTTAAACCATAAATTTGTATTAGAGGAATTAATGAGACATTAAGGGTAAATTAGGAAAAGGGCAAAAAAGAGTAGGTTAAACTACTTAATCTTGATGAAGATTCAGTTGTTCCTATATAAAAAGAACGAAGGGAGTACAATTTAATCACTGCTCATTGATACATGATAAATGCAGGTGTTGGAGTCCCATCAAGCTGGCAAGTTGGACACATCTGGAACTGCCAAGGCTGTCATTTCGTGCTTCCAGAAATTGGGGGTATCTTTTGACATGAATCAGGTTTGTTTAAGGATTTTGATCCTTTAGCATTATATTAGTTTTTCTGTAATTCAAGTGAAAATCACTTAATCTGCTTTGTTTTGCATCATTGATATGTAATTCGTGTACTTAATGCAAAAATTAAGATATTACTCTAGATAGACCCCCCAAAATGTCATATTACCTTTGTCTAGACCGCTGCTTATTATAGCTTTAGAATGTGATCGATCCTTTAAAATTTATGAAAAATTTTTCAAGGCACTTTTTGCACTGAGCCCTCAGCATCTGCAACCATTTCTATTTGACTGTGTTTCAGGAGTTTCATGCATTGCCAAAACACATTATTATCCACCCGAATTGGAAATTGATGTGGATGGGAGGTTAGTTGCCTGATCAATGATCTAAGTTCAACATAAAATATTAGAATGGGAATATTATTGTGTGCACTCCATCTACTTTCTAGATTTTAAGAAGTTCCATGAACATGCTACTTGGGGAATATTTCAGTCTTGATATTAATAATACTTCAATTATGAGAAATATGATTGGACTATGTAACATAATCTGCAACCATTTCTATTTGACTGTGTTTACGAACATATTCTAACGTCTTGGATCTACTTGTCTATAGTCCTTTGTTGCACCACGCTCTCTCTTTAACTGAGTATGGAGAGAACTTCTCATTTCGCGCTCTAGTGAGCACAGACTAAGATTAGTAATCCTGTAGTGCAAAACGATTTAATGTAAATAGAATGTTTGAGAAAGGAATATGTTTTTTTACATCAATTTCCATTAAAAAAAAATGTGCTTATACAGGCCGATCTGAGCATTGAACCTTTAAAATCGATCTGTCGTTAAGCATATATGGAAGGTATAGGGCCATACGAATCTTGTCCTGTTTCAGAGATTGACCACATTAGCGGAATCCTTATGGATTCTGCTGAATATTTGGCTACACATATTTGTACCCATATTAAAGATGTTTTCAAATTACCAAAAGGCAAGTCCGAAAATTTTCAATGAGACAAAGTATGCTTTAAACTATTATTTTCATACAACCTTTGGCAAACAAGGACCAAAAAGAAAAAAAAAATTCCATTCCACAAGTTAGAGCATAAACCTTTTATCTTTTTTTGGAATCATGTTGCGTATTCGCCTCGTTCCAAAACTAGACATTTTAAAGCCCTTAATTAATAAGTCGATACATGGTGATACCTTTGAGAACAGTCAATATCTCGTATTAAAGAGTGGATTATTTAATGAGAACATCTAATGGTGTGATAATCCTAGGAAAAGGCAAAAAAAGAGAGCTAGGTTTTTAACCCACGCTTACTTACATCTTGATCGAAAGATTCAGTAATGTTTATCCTAGAGAAAAACTAAAAGGTATCTGATAGGGAGTACAATTTAATCACTGGCTCATTGTGATACATGATAACCATGTGTGGCGAGGGTTGTAGGAGGAGTCGCTATCAAAGCTGGCAAGTTGGACATCAGTTCTCTGGAACTGAGCCAGGCGTCAGTTTTTCGAGTGCTCTTCGGCTAGGAAAGTTGTGTGGTATCTTGTGTGACTGATATTCCAGTTTTGTTTGATCTACACGGATTCTTGATCGCCAATTAATAGCATTATTATCTAAGTGCATCGTATAATTATTCTGATAAGTTGCAGAAGAGTGACATAGTCAACCTTAATCTGCTTTGCTTATAGATCAAATCTAGTCTCGTGCATATGTAATTGCACGCCTCGTGCATACTTTAGTAATTCATAATATATAGAGACTATTATCCTGCTTTCTCATTGATGTTAACTAAGGGTGAGGATCTCCCTCAAAATATAGTCATATATCGATGTATTAGTCTAGAGACTGAGCCTGCTTATTATAGCTTTAGGAATGTGATCGATCCTTTAACATTTTATGAAAATTTTCAAAAAGGCACTTTTTGCACTGAGCCCCTCAGCATCTGCAACCATTTCTATTGAACTGTGTTTCAGGAGTTTCCATGCATTGCCAAAACACATTATTATCCACACCCGAATTGGAAACTTGATGTGGATGGGAGGTTAGTTGCCTGATCAATCCCGAATTGGAAATTGATGTGGATGGGAGGTTAGTTGCCTGATCAATGATCTAAGTTCAACATAAAATATTAGAATGGGAATATTATTGTGTGCACTCCATCTACTTTCTAGATTTTAAGAAGTTCCATGAACATGCTACTTGGGGAATATTTCAGTCTTGATATTAATAATACTTCAATTATGAGAAATATGATTGGACTATGTAACATAATCTGCAACCATTTCTATTTGACTGTGTTTCAGGAGTTTCATGCATTGCCAAAACACATTATTATCCACCCGAATTGGAAATTGATGTGGATGGGAGGATAGGTGCCTGATCAATAATCTATGCTCAACATAAAATATTAGAATTGGAATATTATTGTTTGCACTCTACCTGCTTTCTAGATTTTAAGAAGTTCCTTGAACATGTTACTTGGGGAATATTTCAGTCTCGACATTAATAATACTTCAATTATGAGAAATATGATTAGACTATCTAACGTAATTTGTTTTTCCACTTTCAAGGATTTGCGTGTTTCTTTTTATTTTGCTTGATAGTGATTACAGTTAGGTGCCAGTTTTCTGCAGTATTTGTTGACATTACTATTTCATTTAGAAAACTTCAACAGTGTTTTGTTGCGGTCACTAGTCCTAATTCCTATTTTTTTCTTCTTTCAGATACAAATGATCCGGGATCCTAAGCTACAAATTGAGATGGTGGGAGTTCCGGAGGATCATTTGTCTGGTCATGCATTCCATATGTATCATCTGACGTCACCTGATCAAACGTAGTAATAAATATCTTCATTTATATTCATTTCTTATTGAAATATGTTATACTTTTCTTTTGTTGCTTTGACAACCAATAGATAAGATCTTAAATCAATTTCCGTGCAGAGTTTCTTTCGAGTTTCAACATAATGTCTGTGGTAGATCTATATATGCTGAGGGCACTGTTGATGCAATAATTTTCCTTGCTAAGAAGGTAGACCTGTTTCCGTTCCTCTCATGATGCTCCTTCAGTTTTCCTTTTCCTTTTTTTGTTGACTCTTGTTGGAAGTTTAGATTCCAGCATGTAACTCGATTGAGAAATATCAAAAATGAACATTAGGCCTTCACTATAAATTAATCTTCCTTGTTTTCTATGCTTAACAAACGACCCTCATTTTTTTTTTTTTTTTTTTTTTTTTTTTTGTTGCCAGTGCCTAAATAATTAAGTAGCAGTTACAACTGCCACTCCACATATGTTCTTTCATTTACTGTTTGTTTATGGCATGGCACGATGTGTCAATCATCTAGGCATTCTGAGTAAAGCACAATAAGTTGCTTACAAATAATGATTTGGTGATATGCAGATTCAATCTAAAGCAGACAAACGAATCTACAATATGATCGATGTCCTGCGGGAGGGCAACATGAGATAAATCAATCTGATGGTTCCAAGTTTTGGCTTCATTTCAATTTTTATTGTGCTTTCATTGCCATGCAACAAACGGAATCAGTCCATCTAAAAATTTGACAGAAGACTAATGGATGACCGGTTCAAATGGTGGTTAATGCCGGTTTTTTGAGAAAGGGGTGTGCATATGCCTTTAAAAGCAGAATTCACCCCTTCAAGTTTTGTTGTAATTGAGTAAATTTTTTATATTTTAGTACTTGTAGTGCAGAACAAGTTGGGTCTTTTAGGCAGGTGGTGTCATCAGAACTTAGAAGAGAACAAGTTGGCTTGAAAAAGAGAACTTTTGCTTGAAATATAATGAGCTGGCATGTATAATTATTTATTTTTCAGGCAATATCTTGTTGGTTATGTTGCATCCAATTAAAATATTAATTTTTTTTTAAAGAGAACTTTTGCTTGAAATATAATGAGCTGGCATGTATAATTATTTATTTTTCAGGCAATATCTTGTTGGTTATGTTGCATCCAATTAAAATATTAATTTTTTTTTTTAATGTAGTTAATGAGAAGTTGTGATGTGGTTTCACAATTTCACTTCTTAAATTAGAGTCTATACGTTTTGCCACTAACTGTCTGCAAGACAGCCTCGTCCAGCGTAAAAAATATACGATCCTAATGAGCAATCATACAGCTATAATATCAAGACGTGCAATTTTCCACCATAGCCATACCGGCAACCCTGAATAGCTTTTCCCATAACAAAACCGGTTAAGTAAGAAATGTAAATGCTTAATTTCTCTCTAGCTTATTCACTATCTTTAACCTCTTCGGTGGTTCGGCACGAAAGGAAATAAGAACTGTGATGAATGTGGGCAAGCGGTGAAGAACTTAGTTTTTCTGCAATATTTGTCATGACAATGTTAATCTTGTTTTAAAATTTTGCAGATTCATGGCATGTAAGTGAAGACTCAAGCAATCATAATTGCTGCAATCAGAGAGTATACATTTTTTTTTTATCAGCAATCAGGTTATTAGATTTATCAAGAAAGCTAGAAGGAGAACTTATCACACCCGAGTGACTACACCCAAGCTAATAAGCTTACCCAATACACCCAGATTCTAGCTCAGGATGATAAGAATACCAAGACAATGAAACAAGAGAATCAGTCTAGAAACCTCTCTTAAGACAAGAGAAGAGTGCTAGAAAAACTGAAAAAAGAGAACTTGAACAATGATGGAACAAAGAGATAACTGCAAAAAAAATACAAAGAAACTAAATCCAAGCTAAGTACGGATTCGTAGCACTAACCCCTTGCTTAGCTAAAGAATCGGCAAAATGGTTGTCATTTCTCGAGATGAAAACAAACTGAACCTGATTGAGATGAGACAAAATCTGATCAAACTTGTTAAACTTCTCCCACCAATGCCACAGCCGCTTGAGCTTTGACTAATCCAACACAAAGCGGTTTTAGAGTCTGATCCCACAATCAAAGGAAAATGTTTAACATTTGAATTCCAAAAAATCTAATAGCTGAAAAAATAGCAAGTAGTTCGGCCTCACTCGAATCCAATATATCGAATGAATGATAAAAAAAATATTTAACTAATCCATTACTGTCCCTTAACACACCTCCTACCCTTGCATGACCCGATTTACCAAAGGAAGAACCGTCAATGTTCAACTTTAGCCATCCTTCAGCCAGCGCTCCCTAAAACATAGACTTTACTGTACCAGCGGCTGTGATACACATTGAACCACCAGATCTGCAGACTTCAATCGGGAAAATTAACCAGTCACTGAGACCAATAGAAGGAAACTTATTTTTAGCCTTTAACAACTCGAAGCTTCTAAATTTAAGCTTATCGACAACCTCTTCCGAATTCTGCCTTAGATTACTGAACACAACTTGTTTCTAGCTATCCAAATAGACCACAAAGTTAAAAGCATAATAGAATTAGAGATACCACGACACCCTTTAACCAAAACAATACTATGCCACTGCCAGCTCAAGAATCAGAGAGTATATATGGACATGTGCTGCTCTTGAATTTGCACTTGTAGCTATTTTTGTTCACTTATTTTATAGCTTGGAAAATAAATGTGACATTCATTCTCTCTCTCTCCCCTCTGCCCCACTTAAAATTGTGCTCAGTTTTCAGTGGCGGAATCAGTTGTGTTGCCTAGAGGACCATATAGTACTATTAAATTGGACTGCCATTTCTTGATTGTAAAGTTGCAGAAATTTTCATGAATCTTTATCCAATGCATTAGATGTTAGAGATTAAAGAAGACAAACTGCTAATTAGGATCAAGATATTTTAAGCTGCAGGATTTAGCTCAAAAACCATTATTGCCTTATTACACTACAAGAAAATCGAGATATAGCTACAGAATTTTTTGTAGCTAATTGCATATTGCTACGGAGTAGCTATGAAATATTTTCGTCCTTAAAATGCTTGTAGCTAAAAATATAGCTACGAATTTATGGTAAATAGCTATTTAGCCACGAAATAGCTACCATAAATCTATAGCAATAAAGAGTCCAATCAATATCCAAAAATGTGTAGCTAATCTGTAGCTACGTATTACGGTCTCTAAATGGTAGTCATACCGTAGCTAATCTATAGCCATTTTGTAATAAAATTCATAGCTAGTTATCATAAATCCATATTCAAAATTGTGTAGCTAATCCGTAGCTAAAAGTTTCCATGTCTAATCTGTAACAATTCCGTAGCGAAAATTTATAGCTATTCTGTAGCAATATTGTAGCTAGAGTTAAATGTATTTGTAACTAATTCATAGCTAATCTGTAGCTATTTTACTATATATTTAATTTTTTTTTTTTATTTTGGACTCAGCAAACCTGTTAAAAATATAAATTATAAAGCAAATATGGAAAAGAAACTATATATAGCACTCATTTTTAACACTAGACATATTTGTAACTAAGTTCAAACATGTAAACATTTTAATCATAGATATTCAAGAAAAGAAAAGTTCACCAAGAGATATCCCTCTAACCATCCAAGCCTTGAACATCATTTTCGTCTCCATCTGTCGTAGGATCAACACCGAAGCTAGAAGTAGGAGCATCTGAGGATGCTGGTGGCTAGCTTGCCCTGATTTGCAAATGCCTATGAATTTGGGCAATCATATTTGTTTTTTCCTAAAGCAATCTATCAAATGCATCTTGTTGTTCCTTCAGTGAATGAATCAACTCCATGGCATCCGACGAAGTGGATGAGGCACTAAATGAGCTGCCACTCATACCAGAATGTGGATAGAAGAGGGAAGCCTGGGAGCCAATGCCGTAGACTCTACGTTTATGTTTTCCTCCTGCAGCCTCCAAATACAACTGGTACTCATCAATAGGAGTTTCTTCACCTTCAGGTTGCTGTGTGGATCATTGTTCTTTGAAGTGTTGGATTGTCCCCTGCAAAGTAAGGAAAGAAAAAAAACACAGTAGCCATATATGTGTTAATTTAGAATAAATGAAAATCTTAATAATTATTGTGAATATTAATGTCTAAAAAATGAAAGAAAACTTACAAATATATTCTCAGCGCGCTTGCCAATAAAGGTCTTCCTATCATCTTTCTTTGTATGGTACGAAGAAACACATCACATGTTAGAGGAATTGATTTAGTCTCTACAGCCTATTAAGTTCAAAATAATGTTTAAATTAATAGTAGTTGGTAAACACTAAAATTGATTAATAAATTGAAGTTGATAACATACCATATGTCTCGCATGTTCGACATGGGAGATAGAGCCTCCGGTATGACGAGATGGACCAAATCCCTTGCCACCCTTCTCAATACGCCGATTCTTTGAGAATTGTATAGGCTTTGCAACATAATCTGATGCTTTCTGATTCTCATTTCACTTCTTCCAAACATCATCTTGGACATAAGGCCTTTTTCCATGACATTTAAGCTTATGAAGCATATCCCTATACCTCTCACCTGCCTTTCTCTTCCATGCAATCTTTATAAGCTCATTCATCGCATCATCCCTTTGGAAGTGTTTCTATATGTACAACATAACAACAGAACAAAGTTTTAATAAAAATGAATAAAAAATAGTTTTGTATATTATTAAACAAAATTTTGGCAAAGTTTCCTCTAAAAGTTGGACTTAACTCCCCTCTTAGAATCTCAAAATTCGCAGTGTATCTCAAAATATTCTCATGAAGGTAATATCATCATATAATACATCAATTATTTCAAAATATGAACATTAACATTTTAATACTACTATCTAATATGGGATGGATGATTCTTAAGATAGACTTGGAGAAAGCTTATCAACGCATTTGGTGGGACTTCATTATTGATACACTGCATCGAGCTAACTTCCCTGCTTTTTGGAGTAATTTAATCTTAAAATGTCTTAGCTCATACTTTATGAAGATTCTTTGGAATGATACGATCTCAGAGTGTTTCACAACTTCCAGAGGGGTTAAGCAAGGTGACCCAATCTCTCCTTATCATTTTGTGATGGCTATGGAGAGAATGGGTCATGGTGATAAGAATACGTAACAGATATGAGTTCTTTGTACTGCTTGTAGTTATCTTTCCCATGTACTTCGGGATTGGATTCTGTTTAGTTTAAATTCCAAATCCCATTAGAATAGAGATTATCTAGTTCTGTAAAATATTATTTAAAGTTAACTAATACATAACAAAGACTATTGAAAAACCCAATCACAATTGGTTTCCAGTTTCTTTATGGTATTAGAGCCAAACTAGGTTTAAAACATCGTTTTTTCTACTTCGTCGCAAAATACTTTTTTTCTTTATCTATCTTTTTACGTTACCATGGATTCTCAGTTAGCTAATATCTCATATGTTCCTGTTCCATCTCTCTCTGCCCATCATCAAATCACAATTAAGCTTACCTCTACAAATTATCTAGTTTGGAAAACACAAGTTATTCCCCTTTTAGCTGGTCATCGTTTGCTTCATCAAGTTGATGGTAGCAGTAATGCTCCACCTGCATAACTCAATGATGCTCCGAATCCTGCTTACAATGATTGGTTCATCAAAGATCAGATTGTGTTGGGATGGGTTGCATACACAGATCAGAACCCTAAAAAATTCTCTGCACTCGTTATCACGAGATAATGACTCTATTGTAACTTATATGGACCGAGCTAAATGATTGTACGATCAGCTTGCTACTCTCGGTTCCCAATTTCTGAAGATGATCTTGTTGATCATATTTTGCGTGGCCTTGGTTCTGATTATAGGCCTATTACACGCAATATTGAAGCAAAATTGGCTCCAACTTCTTATGATGATCTGTTTAGATTATTATTATCTGAGGAATTACAGCTTAAAACTTCGTCTGCGGTTGTCCAGCCGCCTACTGTGGCCCATTACTCCTCTCGGCAAAATTATTCAGGAGTTAACAGAGGAAGAGGACGAGGCAAGGGCCCTAGCAATTATTCTTCTAGTTCTGGTCGTGGTCGCTGTTCCTCCAATCGAAGTGATCCTCTCTCTGTCACTTGTTACAACTGTGGTGGTCAAGCTCATACGTCTCGACAATGTACCAGTCCTAAGCTTCATAATATTAATGTCAAACTTGTAGCCCATTTTTCCTCATCACCTTCTAACTCTTCCAAACCATGGGTTATGGACAGTGGATCTACTCATCATCTGACTTCTGAATTGGAGAACTTGGGAATCCATTCTGAGTACATTGGCACTGACGAAGTCACTCTTACAAATGGTAAAACTCTTCCTATTACTGTGTTGGAACAAATATTATCTCTGTTGATTTTCATAAATTTTCTTTGAATAATATTCTGCATGTCCCTTTGTCGAATATAAATTTGCTATCCGTGTTACAATTCACTAACTCTAATGATGTTCCTGTTGAATTTTTTTCCCACCTATTTTGTTATCAAGGACCTTCGCACGAAGCAAATACTTCACAAGGGACTTACTAGAGATGGCCTCCATCAATTAGCCTCATCTTTAGTTGCTCCAGCTTGCCATTTTGTGTCTCTATCCACTTGGCATGCCAGATTAGGGCATGCTTCTTTTCCCACAGTGAATAAAGTGTTGTCGTTAAATAATTTGTCTACTACATGCAAGTCTCCGTTTTCTTTATGTGAAACATGTTAAGTGAGCAAAACTCATAAATTGCCTTTTTCCGATTCTAATTTTTCTATTTCTGCACCTTTAGAGTTAATCTGTTCAGATTTGTGGGGTCCTACACCCATAGCGTCTGTTGATGGTTATTTATATTATATTATTTTCTTTGATCATTTTTCCAAATATACGTGGAATTATTTTCTACGCAATAAATCTGATGTCTTTAGTACTTTCGTTACATTCCAGGCTATGGTTGAAAATTTTTTTGATAAACTGATAGGTGTCATTTTTACAGTATTTTTAGTATAATTTTATTTAGAATTTTAGTAAATTTTATCACTTTAATTTATTTTTTACTTCGTTTAATTATAATTTTTGTTTAAAGCTTCCTTGAATCATAATCCACTTGATCTGAAAGAAATTTATAGTGTTTTGGCATAGAAAAGAGCATTACAAAGGAAAATACTCAGGCTCGAGCACACCCAGCTCATGCACCATAGCACGCCCGTGCTAAAACTAAGAGAAATCAAGTGGAGTAAACTGATACCCGCGTGTCATTTTTTACAGTATTTTTTAGTATTTTAATTTACTTTAGAATTTAGTAAATTTATCACCTTTAATTTACTTCTTACTTCGCTTAATTATTAATTTTTGTTTAAAGCTTCCTTGCGACAACTCCATCAATCCACCCTTTGATCCATTGATAAGAAATTTATTAGTGTCTTTGGCATAGAAAAGTCAGCATTACAAAGCCGAAAAATACTCCAGCGCTCCGCAGCACCACCCAGCTCATGCCCACCATTAGCACGCCCGTGCTAAACAACCTAGACGAGACAAAGATTCAAGTGCGAGAGTCACGGTGCTAGCCATGGGCTAAGCCCATTGCTATTATGGCCACCACTCGTGCCCAAAGCAAACCCTCCAGGGGCTGTGTTTTGCCTAGCATTTGCCCATGATGAAATCTATCTTGGAAGGTCAGAGGCCTACGCATGCCCTAAACCGTTGCCTAGGGCGCACCGCCCGGTGCCACAAAGACTCCTCTAAGTTGTGTTAGCCAGAACCACGGCCCCGTGCCTTTACAATCATTCATAATACCAGACTCTAGCCATGCCCAAGCCCGTGCCCTAGATGGCAAAGCCGTGCTAGATGGCACGCCCGTGCTACGAAGGCAGAGCTGACTTGGAACTAAAAATGCAAGCCAATCTTTTTCTCACATGGGCCCACCTCAGGTATATTCCTAAACGTACAAAACAAGATCTAAACCTATTTAGGAAGAGAGAAGAGTCTTAACTAAGAAGAAATCCAAGGCCTAATCAGTTATGATCTCCAAAGAAGATTTCGTACTTAATAAGGACTTTATTTCCTAAACGGAGTCAGAATTTCCTTCAGAAGGTCTATATAAAGAGGGGAGCTACTCATTGTAGAGGCATCTCGAATTCTAGTATTTTTCTACATAGTTCTCTATCTCTCAAAGATTTCAAGCGTCCAAGATTTGTGCCAAGATTCAAGGAAGCCATCCACATAGTTGTTGTCTAGTTTTTATTTCTAAACTCTTAATCTTTTTATTTCTAACACTTCTTAATCTATGTCTTTCTGTTCCGATTATTTATTATTGATTATGAAAGTTTATTCAAGTATTACCTGAGTTTTATTTACATTACTAAAATGTCCGAGCTAAACTCTCATACTAGGAATTTTGGATGTATCTTAATTTCGATTCCACAAATTTATAATATTAAGATTTGCTTTTCGCCTGTTCTTTACGTATAAAATTTATTTACTTGAAACTTAAAAGGCTTCCAGGCAGAGTTTATTTCCCCCTGGCATTGATTTATTTTCATTACATCACTATACGGGACAAGAAGGCGTTTTTGATTAGAAAAAAGGTAATTAAAATTTATATTTGAGATAATAACTTTTGATGCGGGGGAAAAAAAAGGGCTACTAGGGTTTGACTTATGGGGGGGTTTTTCAATAAGTTAATTTTTTGAACCGCTGTTTAATCTTTCTTCTTTCCCCTTTTTTATTTTTTTT